GCCGATACCTTGGAAAGGGTGGCGGCTTTGGTCGCCCAAGATGTGGACATCATCGCCTTAGACTCAGCCCATGGTCATTCCAAAGGGGTGTTGGATAAAGTGCGTCAGGTGCGTCAGGCCTATCCCGATTTGGACATTGTAGGGGGCAATATCGTAACCGCCGAAGCCGCCAAAGCCCTGATTGATGCGGGGGCCAATGTGCTTAAAGTGGGTGTAGGCCCTGGATCCATTTGTACCACTCGGGTGGTGGCGGGTGTGGGAGTTCCCCAACTATCGGCCATTCACGATGTATATTCTTATGCCAAAACGCGCAATGTGTCGGTTATTGCCGACGGGGGCATTAAACTGTCGGGCGATATTGTAAAAGCCATCGCCGCTGGGGCCAGTTGCGTTATGATGGGCGGCATGTTTGCGGGCACCGATGAAGCCCCTGGAGAAGAAATCATATTCCAAGGCCGTAAATTCAAAGTGTATCAGGGTATGGGGTCGCTATCGGCCATGAAAAGAGGCAGCAAAGACCGTTATTTTCAATCCAATTCCGATGCCAAAAAATTGGTGCCCGAAGGCATCGAGGGTCGTGTTCCCAACAAAGGCGCATTGCAAGATGTGGTGTATCAACTGTGTGGTGGATTGCGGGCTGGAATGGGCTATTGCGGTACCCCCGATATCAACAGCCTTATTGAAAACGGACGCTTTGTTAAAATTACAGGCAATGGGCTTTTAGAAAGCCATCCGCACAATATTACCATCACCAAAGAGGCGCCCAATTATTCTAACTGATAATGTATCTTGATTCATACTCCTTGAGTATCCCCAAAATCTGACTGTCACTAAATTTTACTTTTTTCATCTCCTAAAGTTATTTATTGTTTTTCTATTTTCCTAACTTTAGGGGTAGCTTGTGTCTACTTTTTAGGGAGACTTACATTGCCTTTGGTTATGATTGGTTTTTTAACATTAATGGCAATGTTTAATATTCGGCTGAGCACCGTGGTGGGGCTTATATCAAGCACTCGACCTATGCCTCGTATGCCTACCGAGTTTTTAACCAGTTTTATAAGCATGGGGTTGGTATTCCAATCATAGGCATTGTAACTGTAGGTGTATTGTCTGCTCTTTTTACAATCGGTACAACGGTATCTTTGTTTGCCATTGGATTGTTTTCCGTTGCGAACACATTTTCCTTTGCAATGCCTACATTTTATCATGGTTCTTTGTATTTCTTATCCACTAATTTGATACACTAGAATTTTATCTATTTATTTTAAGCTCATTTTTTAACCTTTTTCTTACTCAAATATACTATAATACCCTCTAAAAATACAAAAACAGGTGTTTTCACCTGTTTTTGTTTACTGATTTTTAAATGATTAGGGGGGTATCCACTAATTTGATACACTACCGAAGTTCGGGGCGTTTTGATTTATTGATATTTCTTTTCTATAGCTTTTTGCTGCTTAAAGTGTTCATATATATACTCGCAAGCTTCGTTCTCTGACGAAAATACTTTTTCATTATCTCTATTTCCCCTTTCGTCAAAATAGAACACTTCCCAAATGTCATAGTTGTGAAAAAGAACTATCCTATCAGGCAAAAGTTCGCCTTCTAATGAGTAAAAGCCTGTAAAAACATTAAGCTTATCTAATTTGCATTTCAATTCGTTTCTGTTCATACTGTTTTTCTTAATGACCAATTATGCCACGTTTTAATAATACATCAACAGATACAGGAGATAAATATTGAGTACCTAAACCTGGTTGCCCAAAAGCTGGTGCAATTTTACCCGCTTGAACTTCAAACGGCTTTAAAACTTTATAAGTATTAAAAATGCTTGTATTGGCACCTGGTGGCAAAGCCCTCATAGGTAAAGGCGTACCC